AGTATAAAAAAAAATAATAATGGTTGATACGTGTAGGTAAATTAGTCGATATCGGAATTCGAAATTAACTGAAATAGTCCGAATAATGTAAATAGTGTACATAATACCTCATCTCAGAAATATAGACAGATACGTATATTTTTGTTGTACTATGCACCGTCTCCCTTTAGCACGTAGGCGATCATGGCTCTCCACAATTTCCTGACATTTGTAGCTTTTAATGAAGTTTGACTTTTTGTTATCACTCTTCCGCCAGCCACGAGCTCGTAAGGTAGGTTATACGCTCATTAACTCAGTACCTGTATGTGCGTTGTGGTGTAATAGATATCGGCTCAGAGTGAGAACTCGGAGAGCCAAGTTCGAATTCCGGTCGATATCGTTGGATTAACTTACACGCAAATTCCCTTGGGAAAGGTATAAATTCTTTTCTTCTCCCCCAGCTATGGGTTAAATAGCAGATCAGATTAGGTTTTTTAACTTTGGAACAAGGAACATCTTGTCTTGTCAGTCATGTATCGAAAGAAGCATGATTGACCAAGCGTGTATCACGTATGGCACTTAACTGGCTGACTCTGTCCCTATTGTCTTCAATATAACCTGAGAGTGTCAAATTTACTAAGCTCTCTTTTCTCTTTATGTTCGCTAGAAATGCCAACCGTTTGTTTCTGATACTAAGTCCTTTTTGATTCCATCTTCTCTAACACTTTGTCATTGCACATTTTTTCAGTGCATAGAATTCTCAGTATTCTTCTGTAGAAGCAGCTATCTGTTGCTTCAAGTCTCTTCTTCGTGTTTGAGGAGATTTTCAAAAATTTGCTGCCACATCGGAAGGGTCGATATTACACAACAGTCCAGTAGTCTTTTCTTTGATTCTAGCTCAATATTTCTGTTTCTTAATATATTGCTTAGCTTTTGGAAGGCGTCTTTCGCTGTCCCAATACTTCATGTCTCTTTTTTTTTACCTGTAAGAACATTGTCAAGAATTTACTACCATTTTAGAGGACCGATATTACGTCACAGCCCAGTAGTCTTGTCTTTGTTTCTAACCATTTTTTTTTACTTTGCTTAGCTTTTAGCGTATTTCGCTATCCCAGTGAGACTTCAGTGTCCTATTTTTCCAAGATATTTATCTTTTCCTGCTTATTTCATTTTGTCGTCTCCAATTCATCTTTGAACTTTTATTTTGCTGACAAGCGTATATTCTGTGTTCTGACAATTGGTGGTAACACTTTTCTTCTCGATTCCGTTAACTACATTCTGTCGGAGTTCCTAATTATACTTTATATTGTATCCACTTTATTTTCGGTATCCATTGGTCCATGTGTCCTCCAGGACACGTCGCCCAGTGTTGGTTCGATCCAAAGACTAGAACCAAAGAGTTGTGAGTTCAATAACTGGCTACGACAGCTGTGAACGAAATAGACAGTTAAAAGGGAGATAACTATGACATCCGGACGATGCATGGAACGCGGAACTAGCACAATCTAACTCGGTGGATGAAATAAAGGGTTCAGATCGAGATTCCAATCACCTGAAGAAGGCTGGAGCGTACAACGGCCGAAACGTCGTGAATATGGCAATAAAGATGAGGACAACAATCCCAATAATGTAAAAAAAAAAGTAATGTTTAGAATATATAGCTGAATTTCGAATTTATTAAATTAGAATTACTGTTTAATACACTTAGTGGCGCCATGATACCTGTAGATGCTTGACACAACCTGATTACACACGTAGCATTGCAGAAATATCATTCAGGTAGAAATTTCTCACTTAGCGGCAAATATCGTTGGAATTTAACGGGTTAATTGAGGAATGTGGGTAATTTTAAATTGCTACTATTCTTTAAAAAAAAAATGAAAAAGAAAGGGCAACTATTTTAGAATAATACAGTTTTTTTTTCTATGCTGATGTAGGCTTTAGTCTGACACAAATCATCATTCGGTGGAAGCAGGGATGGTGAAGGAGGTTGCGTCTGTTATTCCCGCGATAGAAATTTTGCTTGATTTGCAGATCAACACTTGAAAAACTAGTTCTTTTTTTTTTTTTTATTTTGTCGGACCCTGACTGGCGGCGCCGATGGAAAAATGGCAAACGTCTCTTTGACGGAGGCCCGGATGTAGACAATGCAGAATAGAAATTAAGAAAGAACGAAAGACAAAAAAAAATATTAGAAACAAAAAGACACTATTTTTTTTTATCATTTACGAGATTCCTTACGTAGACAACTTCAAAGCATTCATTCGTCTATATATATATTTTTTTTTCTTTCTTTCTTTCATAGAGAATAGAATGCCGGACATATGCAATGATTCCAGTTTCGGACTCACTTTATCAATTTATGTATTTCTTCTTTCCAGCCTGTGGATTTGTTGTTGTTACTGTTGGAAATTTTTTTCTTGTTTTACACTTTATTAAATTTTTACAATTTGCTCTTATACATTTTTTTCGGAAGTTTTTTTTTTTTCATTCGCTTATTACTTCACCTTCTGTTACATTT